ACGTGTGCTCTGCCGATCTGCTTCTGACAATTACGTATGTAACACATGAAGGTGAAGCCACATGTATGTATTTTATAAAAGACCAATGAATTTAATTCTCTTTGTTTCAAAACTCTTACTCTTCTTTCTTTTTTCTAAAGAATCCGCACTTAAAAGGAAATCCGCGTGTTTTGGGATACCCCGTATATATATATAAATATACATATATATATATATATATATACCTATATATATATAAATTTTGGATTTTGATTTTTGTTTACATATATGCATATATACTCATACTGACTTTTTCTCGCTCATTAATGCAATTTCCCATTTACTCTTTAATTCTCTTTCATTCCTTCAATCGTTACTTCGTTCCTGTTATTTTCCTCTTACAAGGGACCCACACAAGGTGCACAATAGTTACAGCATAGAGATGTCTGTCGTAGGCATCAAAAAATAAAAAAAGTTTTATTTTATTATTTTAAATTTTGTATTTATTTTATTATTTTATTATTTATATTCATTATTTTATTTCCGGTCTAATTTTTGGGTAGAAAGTGATCCAAAGGGAGTCAAGATGCTTGGATAATTTATCAAAAATTAAAAACAAGATTATTTTAATATTTTTGATTTATTTTATTATTTTATTGTTTATATTTGTTTTATTTTCGGTCTGGTTTTGGGGTGGAAAATGACCCAAAGAAAGCCAAGATGCTTGGATAATTTTCTCTATGCTGTAGCTATTGTACACCTTGTGTGGATCTCTTGTTAGTCATGGTAAAGAACATGTTTCAAAATACTTGTTGATTACAAAAGATTATAATATTAATAATGTTAAACAAAAACTGCTACCTGAAAAAAATACCACACGAAGTATCAATCTTTTTTAGTAAAATATACATTAAGAAGAAGTTTTATAATAAAAATGTGTTTAGTAAAACTTATCTGAAACAATCTTGAAGTCATCCAAGAGGAAAAGAAAAATCTTTATCAACGTCGGAACAGGAAACAACGCATAATAATCAATTTTACAATCTATATATTGCTATTACACTATTAACCCCAATATTACTAAAACAAATCTCAATACACATAATAACTGTTAAAATATGTAATGACAGCCGCTCAACGAAGTAAGCAGTGAGATAACCAATCAGCATCACAAAAAAGCGACAACAAATAATTTCGAGTAATCGACTTAACATATCTTTTTTGTAGATAGGAATCATTAGTCCTATAAACCCATATGTTGTCTGAAAAACAGTTTTCCAATATCAGTTCAATTGTAATGCATAGATGGGTATATAAACTTAGGTGAATAATTGTTTTTTAAAGATTTAATGTTATGACTTTTTTAATAAAATATTTTAGGGCTTACGTTTAATCTTATTTATAATCTTATTTTCTTATTTCAGCTCATTAAACATACTTTTAAAGTTTGCATGGAAAACCCGGAGACATCCTATGTAATATTCTGAGTGTGTATATATACCTACGTGTGAATATGTTATATACAACATGTGTATACCTATACATGGCGATGAAAAATTAAATAAATTTGTATGATGAAAAAAGGAATCAATACAAGCATTTTAAGTATAAGAACTAGGTACTGGTCGGTGACGCTTTTGGTTACGGCGTGACAGGAATTTAATTGAATTGTCAACGCCTGCAAGGCAAGCAGCGTAGTTCGTTTGTTTACCTCTCGTTTATTTACCATTCACTTCTTCTTCCGGTGTGCAATAAAAAATATGATTTATTCTGAACAAGTCGACGTCGAGGAAGATCTGGTCGCATAGGTGAGGCATCTGAAACCATTCGATATACATGTAGGTATATCTGAAATATTCCAAAGAACGCGTGGCAATCATTGCTCTTTCGCTGTGACTTTTGTCGAAACGTTGGCAGTCGTAACTTTGAATACTTATTGTGAACATGTCAAATTGAGAGAATAAAATCATTGCATCGCAGACGTTATAACAATAATTCAATTGAATTCCCGTCATGCCGTAATCAAGCGTCGCTGACCCATAGTTCTTATACTTAAAATACTTGTATTGCAGGTTCTTTTTTTAATCACACAAAATGGCACTTATTTTTCATCATCCTGTACACACACACACACATACACACACACACGCGCGCGCGCGCGCGCAATATAATACAAAGAAAGCGAAAAAAATAGAAAAGTACAAAATTTGCATTTGGTCGGTAATTAGGTACATACTGACTACTTCAGCATCCTTTTAAAGTTTATGTTAAAGAATAAAAAACAACTTTCTTCCATTAATTTCTAGTAAGATTATTGCTAGGAAAAATATAGAATATTGAACTTCCTACGAAAATTTTCCTATGATCAAATATTCCAATATCAAAATGTAGGAAACGGCGTTACTGCGCGTTAGACGCGCGTCAACATGACAAAATTTATTTAATAATGACATAAATTACGTATTGATGATAAATCGCAAGAATTGTTTGACCATTGGTGTTAACATTGTCCATCAACATGGAAATTTTATCTACGAGTTAATTTAATTTTTTTCATGTAATTTGATCTTTGTCTACGAATAGTTATCAAAAACGATTCTTCTGTTCGATTAAAGTTCGATAAAATGATGCACGCACAACGAATTTATTTTCTCCAATAATCATGGAATCGATAACTTTCACGGTATAACCACTTAACTCGCACACACATATTTGATGTATTTGCAATGCTTGCTGCAGATAGGAAAGCTAGAAACTAATAGGCTCGTATCGTGTTCATATGAATTAATGAAAAACTGGGCAACGACTCTGCCGCTATCAGTTTCCGGTTTATTTAGTTGACTGTTCAACGTTTTGTAAACAAAAATTAATGTGCTGTACTTCATGTACATTTGTTATCACGCTTATGTGCAATTTTGTTAATAATTTAATTCTTTTTAAAATAATCTGTTTAAGTTTGTAACTCCACTATTTTTTTAAATTTTGATTTAAATCTTTAAGCATATGTTTTGAAAACTTCAAATTTGAACGTAATGGAAGAAAACGTTGATTTTTTAATTCTTTAATATAAACTTTGAGAGGATGCTGGAGTAGTCTGTATGTAATTACCGACCAAATGCACATTTTAAACTTTTCTGTTTTTTTATCACTTTCCTTATACGTAATAAAAAAAATCTTTCTTCAAAATAAGGAAAAATGAATGTAGATAAATGTAAAGAAATACAAAATAATATAGAGAATCAAAAGAACTTTTCTAATTACTAGTTTCTTGTAACTCTATACCTATGTTGTTTCTTCACATAATATAAATAATTCTAATTATAAGTAAATATATTATTAAAGTAAAAATTTATCCACATTTGAATCATATATGTATATCTGATTAAGAATATTGCAAGATTTTCAATTTGTGATTTTAAAGTTTATGAGAGAAAAGAACAGAAAAATATAATCTGATGAATATACAAATGTAAGTGCGATTAGTGTAATAATACGTAATGATGTGTCGATGTTCATACATATGTCATATATATGTATTGAAAATTGTATGTGTATAAGTCGCGTTTAATCAATTAAACAGATAACAAGCAGCATCTTCTTCATCGCTTGTTACAATATTTAAATACATTAAAAAATATTTTAAGAGTAAAAAATATTGTAGCAAATGGAAATATTACTAGACTGTTTAAAATACTATAGCTTGTACAGGATCTCCGATAATTCTTGTGACAACGCTCGTGTAGAATGAATGGACTAAATTAAGTCGAAAATCTGTTTTGCAATTCCTTCATTTTTCGGGAAATTAATTATTAAAGATTGCCGAATAAGTGCATACCCGCCTGACTAACCGTCAAATGAAACCAGGCAGCAAACGCAATCATCCAGTGATCGTAGTTGCTAAATGCGCGGGGAGTCGGTTTCTATATGTATAAGCGGCAATGGTTACGCACGTGGCGGGAAGTCTAATAATATTGTCATTACACCCTGTATATACAGCCTTGGCCAAAAATATAAAGTACCTTATATTTTTTTCTTTATCTGTATTGTTTCCTATTGGTTATTGGCATTATATACAGGGTGTATCCATATAAGTTGCCACCCCTTTTTATCTCGTAAACTAACAGAGATAGACTTAATAAATATAATATCAAATTAAACGGCTCTGACTAAACTTTATTGTAACTATTGTAAGCATATTGATCACTTAGAAACATTATCTATGTTAGAGAGCGGAGAAACATGCGTAATTTTTGCAATGTAAAGTGACAACTTTAACAGATAAAAGTTGTAGCGTTTTTTTTTTACAAATACAATGATGTATGATATAACGACATTATCTTACAAATTGTACACATTATTTTAATTTAAAGTTTTACGGACGACTTACTTTTTCAGTTTTGGCCCTGCAGTGTGGCTAACTTCCGACTTTCGCGTTGACGATTGACGAGTAATGTTTTCATCTAATCATAGTACTCTCATCAATATCAGAGTCGGAAGTTGGCCACATCGCAGGACCGAAATTGAAAAGGTATAAGTAATCGTTTACAAAACTTTAAACCAAAATAACTCTTATAATTCGTAAAATACTTTTGTTATATTATATATCGTAGTATTTGTTAAAAAGAACGCTACAACTTTTATCATATTAAAATTGTCACCGTGCAAAAATTAATCATGTCTTTTCGCTCTCTAACATAGATAATATTTCTTAATAATCACTGTGCTTACAATAAAGTTTATTCAGAGCAGTTTAATTTGATATTATATTTATTAGGTCTCTGTTAGTTTACGAGATAAAAAGGGGTGGCTACTTGTACACCTTTGTATAAGTTTAAAAGGTTTTTGAAATAAAGAATAATTTACATCCCAATTTAAGTCATAAATCAATTTTGAGCTGAAACATTAAATAACAGTTATTTCGAATTTGATTTCTAGTCTAACTTTAAACAATTTCGACAGTAGCATCTTTCATAATACTGCAATTTTTTTGTAATACTTAGACTGTTTTCTGTTGAAAATATCAAAAAAGATTATCTAAGTGTGCATCAACAAAGTTTAACAATATTTTGAAGATCCAAGGAAAGATCCAAACAGAAATTGCGAAAACTGTAAAATATTGCGCTATACAAACAGTTATAAAACGTTTTACGAAGCACAAATCAAAATAGATCACGATCAGGCAGAAAGAAGGCGACTAATAAACGCGAGGATAGAATTTTGATTCGCTAAAAATAGGAAAAAACCTCTTCTGAGCTGGCTGTTGATTTTGTCAAGTAAGATATGAGTTTAATATCTCGAACCGTAAGAAAAAGGTTCAACAAAGCAGGTCTAAGAGTTGCAAGGCAGGAAGAAGCCGTGTGGCAGAGAAAAATAAAAAGTCTCGCCTAGAATGGACACGCCAACACAAGCACAAAAAGGATTGGGCGTAATCATGTGATCTGTCGAGTCTAATTTTGAAGTAAACATAATTTAAAGTATTTTGTACCTCTCAATAACATTATTAACCCTTACGAAAGCAGTACTTATTTGTGTTTTAGTTGTGCGCAACAGTTTTTCGATAATACAAATTTTAATGTCTTTTGAATACAGATTTTCAAGACATCTAGTGCTACATTTGTGCGTAGAAGAGTCATAGAAAAATGTCATCGTGACTGCATAGTATCTACTGTTAAATATGGTGGAGATAGTATCATAATTTGGGGTTGTATGGCAGCAAGTGGAATAGCAGAAATATTTATATGTGAGGGAAGAATGAACAATGATTATTATATTACCATCCTGGAAGCCAAATTACGTCAGTCATATACTAAAATTTTTGATGAACATGACACAGACGGCATAATATTCCAACAAGACATGCTATACCATAAATCTGTAAAGAAAACTCTTAAATGGATGTCTAAAAATGGAATTCAACTTTTGGACCGGCCTGCTCAATCACCTGATCTCAATCCCATTGAACATTTGTGATCCTTAATAAAAAAAAAATATAAAAAGTCAAGAAATTTTATCTAAACATGCTCTAGTGTGTGCATTATGGCAAAAATGAAGCAACACAACCACAGAAGAATGCAGTCGTTGAATATGCCAAAAAGAATAGCAGCAGTGATAAAATTGGAGGAAAATATTAAAAACATGAAACGAATATTTTATTTATTTATTTTCGTATTTAATTTCCATTTTAATTTTCTCTAGTTAAAAATATTATTAAAAATATAAGGTGCTAAACATTTTTGGCCAAGGCTGTACATATACATATATATGTGCTATATGTATACATTTATTATATATACATATAAAAAATTCTGTATTATATATATATATAATATAGAAATTTTCGCATAATTAATTTCACAATTAATTTGTTAGAATAATATATTTGATAAATATAAAAAGAAAGAATACAAAATACATGCATGCTTTAAGACAATTAATAATAATGTAGACTTACATATATAATAAAAATTATAATCAATTTTTTAAAATTTAATGTTACCATGCGTCAATTAATATATCATAATATTATATATATGACGTATAGTCAAATATTTCATAAAAAAGAAAAGACAATATGTATTATTCCGAATTATGTTAAACTATTTTACTCTCTAAACATATTTATTTAAACGTATACTGACCGGAATTATAACAAGTAGTGGTATGTAAAAGCTTCCTATGATTGCATAAATTTGATAGATAAAATGCTGGTAAAGTGCACAGACCGTTGGTCCATTTGGCTCTTCTTCGTACTCGTTTCCCATTGTTAAAAGAGGCGGTAAACTAATGCACATGGCTAGAGACCAAATAATGGTGACGTACAATGACATCCGCAGCTTTGTCCTCTTCGTTTCATATGTCAATGGTTTCATGATCAGCCAGAATCTTTAACATAGAAAGGAAAAATAAGAATGCCGAAAGTCTTGCACGCTTATACAATCGACTTAGGTTGGAAATAAAATTGACCAAGTCCTTGGGGTCTATAAATAGTCTTGGCGAGAGGGAAATAAAGAGATACACCGATGACCGGAAACCCGTTATTTGTTTTTGCTTCCTTGTTTGCCTACGTGTTTCCTCGAGTATTTATCAACAATTCCTCTGATAGTATAGAACTTGTATTAAAGCTTCACGGAGTTCCTGTGTTTATGCAATTAACGGAAACCAACACGTTCAAACGATAAAAACGAGATTGACAAACATTGTAACATTATTCATGAAAATAACGACATTTAAATCCGACAAACGGTAAAACAATTATTTTGCTCTCTGATTCCGTAAATATTTCAGTCAAGTCTAAAATAAAATAGTAAGAAAGAATTAGTTATATCTAATCTGCGCGCGCGCGCACGCTCCGTATCCAAATGCCATTCCTATGATACAGGAGGAAACAGAACCTAAGTAAAATAAAAACAAAGAAAAGGGATTGTTGGATTAATTGTCTGCAAATAATGAATTCTGAAAGAACTTATTATTTAAATGTATAGCTTTATACTAAATATTATTGGAACAATTGTAACAGAAAATTATTTTATAAAATAAAAGATTAAGCCGTTTTATTAGGCTATACTTATGCTTTTAATAATGTATAACTTATCTTTTTCTCGAAATATGGATCAACTTGTCAGGATCATAAAGTTCGAGAAGTAGATCCCAGAGATATAAGAATGATTAATACAAAAATTAGTATAACAATTTTATTAATTATACTGTGGGACAGAATTTAACTTGTTTGTATCATGAATAAATGTAAATAGTCATTTCCAACGTATTTTTGCCTGCTGAATACGAATCCGTTGACAAAAGTTGGCTATCACGTCACAATTTTGAGAAAAATGTGTCAAAGGGACCGAAAACGATGATTTCGTTTTTCTAAAAATTGTCATGATATAACTTTTACCAATGGATTTATGTTCAGAAGGCAAAAATACGTCGGAAATGACAAGTCATAATCGTGATGAAAGAAAACATTAAATTTTGTATGATAATATTACATGAGAATAAGTACTATATGTATGTATTCAAGTTCATTGCTATATCTCAGAAACAAGAAATCATATTGTAATGAACAAAAATGCATTTTAAAGCTAAAAATTAACGTTTCCGTGTGAAATTAACAAAATTAAACAAAAAAATTAGCTGCCAATGTACAACGTCTTGAATATCCTCAAAATCGTTGTTTTTTGCCTCTTTAAGTTTTTTGCCGCTTCTATTTTTTTCAAAAATTGTTACGTGATAGCCAACTTTTGCCAACGAATTCAAATTCAACAGGCAAAATATGTCGGAAATAACTATTCACACTCGTGATGCAAAATCGTATCCTATAGTGTTAGCTGTTTATAGTAACGTGATAAATGTTATATTATTACAGTGTTTGTTGACTAAATATACATATGTGAATATAGATGTAAATGTGTGAATAATCGTAAATGGACGCCGTACAAAGTTAAGCCGAGGGTGAACGCGTATTTTAAATGCCGGATGTAGGAGTGACGCGCGACTTAAGTAAATAAGCATTACTTTAAACTTACTATAATACCTACAAGAGATACTCATAAAGGATTACGTTTGCTTTCAAAAATGTTTACATTTTTAAAAAGTGCGCCAGTCGAGGCAAGTTCAGCGACATATAATATTGTCTCAAATCAGAGAATGTGCAAAAAATTGACATAGATAAAAGATTAAATTGTAGGTGAAATATGTATCTATGTAAAATGTGATATCAAAATACTTTGTTAAAAACCGTTGTAATTTTATCATTGAATATTAAATCTCTTTTTAAAGTTTTGTAGTACGCGTCTTTTTTTGCCAAATTATTATAGCGTTATTATAAAATTTTGTTACCTAATATTTATTTAATATACCTATTTATTTAAGTTACCTATATTTACCTAATATACAACCCGGGAAAAAAAGTTCTACATATAATTATATGCAAAATATGTTCATATATGTTTCTTTCCTTTCTAAAATTATTCTTTAATATAAAATTGATAATAATAAGAAGAAAACATAAAAAATAATTACAAGAGTAATTTTACAATGTTTTTTTTTACAAAAAATTAAGTTTGAAGAAATGAGAAAAATTGTTCATATATATAATTATATATGTGTATTTTTAATCATTTATATATGATTTATATTTATATATGATGTATTTTTAATTATTTATATATGATTATATATGAGCAATTTTTCTCATTTCTTAAAACTTTATTTTTTGTAAAAAAAATGTAAAAATTATTCTTTCAATTATTTTTTATGTTTCCTTCTTATTATTATCAATTTTGTATTAAAGAATAATTTTACAAAGGAAAGAAACATATGTGGACACATTTTGCATATAATTATATATAATTATATGTGGAACTTTTTTCCCGGGAAGGTATTTTAGAAATAGGTAGCTGAACTTTGAAGCACATTCTATTCATTTTGAGGACAAAAAGGTCAAAACGTAGATCCGGAAACGCATTCTTTCGTTAAGTTTTTCTTTTTTTAAATACCTTTCGCAAAGTTGTAGACACTTTTTATTTAAAACAAACAACATGCTTCGCGTTGATGTCTCGTAAAAAAATCATCTTTTTATAATTTTCACCTTCTATTTTATTAGAAGTAAACAAGAAGTTTTAGGAGTCTCCTGGAAATTGGGGCCGCAGGATCAGGCTGCAACGAGCATTCATCGCGTTCAGGAATCAGGATGCAGATTAGCGTCTGATCCATTGTCTGCGAGCGCGCAAGCGCGCACGAGATCGCGTTGAATCTTGTAGATTATCGTTCGGCAACGGCCAGAAATTCTTCGTGTTCGTTTATCGGATGTTATTGAGATTTGTGTTTTCATGAAGTGCGTGATAATGTGAATTATGTGTTTTCGTGTTTTCGGTTATTCGCAGCAATAATTAAATCGCGAATCGACATTGACATTTGATCACGATATTTATTCGTCACAAGTGCCGTTGCTTCGCGCTCTTCGCCGCGACTAGAACGAATTTCATTTGCGCTGCATTTTTTGCACTTCATTTCGTTGCAATTCCTGCTATGCGCGGATGTAATTGAGAATCGGAGAAAGCGGTGTGGTATTAGAATGCGTGGGATGGAAGAGCATGTTTCAGTAATTTTGACGAGGCTCTTCGCCTCTGGCAACTCAGAACCGTTGGTAAAAGTATATCGTAATCGAGCAATATTTGATATTACTTGTATTGCGTGTTCGCGAAGATTGTGAACAAAGCGATTATCATCTCCGTTCGTTTAATTCTAGTTAAATTTTGCAACCACTGTTATTATGCATTGTATTCTTGTTAATAAACATGCTGTCTAATTACTAATAGGTTCGTAAATGTATTCTCGCCTTTTTGTCATTTTGTCGATCTTGCTGCTTGCTCTTCGGCAAACGACTCTCCTTTAAAATTCTATCCCTCTAATGTTAGATCGTGTTAACTGGACCTCGCGCAAAGAACGGTCTTTTCGGATTATTGGAATTGTTGGTCATTTTCGCGATTTGATGCTGCCTTCGCGCACGTGTGACTCCAAAGAACGTAAAATAACCAAATATTTGCCTAATTGTAAACGATGGAACCTTTCTTATGCAAATTTTCTTATGTTTTTTGATGTGCTGAATCATTTGCAAACGTTAATTTTAAACTGATATGATAGGAAAGTGTTGAAAATCACATTTAAAGTAGCTGTTTCGTTGAAATCCGTCCGAAAAAAATTCAATCCCAAAACTTTTTGAATGTAAAAGTATATATACTTTTTATTAGTATCAAAATTGATGAAGTTGTAAGAAAAGTTTACAAATAGATAGAAATCTTCATGTCATTGTTCAGACAATTATAAAACTTTCAACAACCTGAAGTACTATACATATACCTAATAGTTGTACATGTAAAATTTATTTTTTAATGCATTTTAATAAAGTCTTCTGCGTTCGATCTTATACTGACACTATAAAAACTTTCTTCAATCTTCTATGAAATCCTCCAAATATCCGTTTTCTTTCTATCAATTGACCATGATTGTATTTTCGTCGCTCAACTTTTGCTTTATTAATCTCTATTACATGTCTGGCGCCGCCAAGTTTCTCACTGTTTTTTTTGCCCAAGATGTAGGTACAAATCTAATATTATTTAAATTACGCATATTTATATATTTAATAAATACAGTTAGTCAGCTAAATTTGTTAAAAACAATTATATTAAATGCTTGCTATACACAAATTTTGTTAACAAAAAGACATCAAATTTAATAAAAATTCTGTTATATTCAATAATGCCAGCATATTGGTGGCAGTTATACGTCAAAATGTGTATAGTGCTGGCGTAACATGAAAACAAATTATCGGCATCTAAACAATCTAACAGCAATTAAATTGACAGGCAAGAACCGACCAAAACCAAAACCAAAGTTTTGCCGATAATTTGTTTTTATAATTATCACAACAAGTTTTGTTAGTAAAATACAAGCTTAAGATGCATAGATGCACAGTTGATACCAATTTATTGGATCGAGTTTGCCAGCAATTTGTTAGGCAAATTATTAACGTTGACTTGGCATATGTATACATATATACACGTATCTCTTTACAATGAGTTAATTTAATCAACAATCGTAATTAATGACAGGTCAATGTCAAATTAAATAAATTTCTACTGTTGTAATGACAAAACCTTAAAAAATGCTATAAATCCATAGTATTAGCTATAATAGTACTAGCTATATGTGGGTTCTTTAAACTATGTTCCTATTATAGCACCTTTTTGTAAATGCATTGTTTTTGTGGCACAAGTTTTTCTGGATAACAAATAATAAGGGAAAAAAGTCAAATTCAGCTGATGTTAGCCCAATAATATTTTTAATTTTTAAGTTTAATTTAAACATCATCATCGAATTGAAAATCAATTTAATATGTGATATTATTTCAGCTTTAAGTTATAATTGTTTTCTTAAAAACCGACAGCAATCGGCGCGCAGTTTACGGTAGCTGAAATTTAAAGATTTAAAAATTAAAATTATTAACTGGACAATCAAATTTAGCTTTGGTCAAATTTGGCTTTTTTTCCTTCTTATTTGTTGTGTACATATACATATATATCGATTTTGAAATTTTTGTAAACATTTTTAATACTTGTTCTGATAGCACATAAAAAGCATTAATGTTTTTTTATTTAAATTTATGATATTTCCATACATATTACATTTAATATAGCTAATAAAATCCCATTTTTAATTAAAAAAAATCTACTAATTTCTCTTTGTTCTATACGTTAAATAGATAAATTCTAGAATTTTATTTTCTTAGACAGTTATATTGTGCCTAGCTAATATTGATGCAACGAATTTCAAAATTCACGTACTATTTCTACATGACAGTTTAATATTTGATTTGGCGCATGCAACGCTTGTATTTGTCCTTATTTATTTGGCAAACAAAAATAAATCAAAAATAAAAGTGATCACTTCAGAGTTTGTAAAAATTTCCGAGGGATAGAATCAATGACTGTAGATGTACATGCATGAAAGAAATAATACTGTGCTTTTATAACTAATGAGCCTAAATGCTTTAAGAGGATACTGGAAGGTCGGAAATTACCGACAATTGCAGTTGGAACGATAACTTCGAAAATACTGAACGGAATTAAAATCGCTTTTACAGAATTGAAACAGACATAAAATGTAAGGGGACGAGCTATTTTTCGTAGTAAAAACGACAAAAAATTAAAAAATTACCTTTTTTCGGGTCGTACAACAATCGTAACCTATCACCTGACGTAAACATTTCATTGGTATAAAAGTTCTGTAGCTCATACGTACAAAATAAGTAGCTCGCCCCCTTTGGATTACAGGAACAAATAATACAAGACCTTTTGAGCTACGATTGAAAGCGTAGAAAAAGGTATATCGTTCCAACTGCAATTTATGGTAATTCGCACGCTTAGCTAAGATAAAGACAGCAAAAATTGCGTCTGGCAGTAAATGCCGGATTTTCCAAGAGATGGTACTTCAATAAGTTAGATAAGGACATTCCACGTATTTAAGTGAGACCAGAAGATATTGTAAGAAGTTCATTTAGAGATACCACTGACACTGAAGAGTCTGCTTTGTCGACTTTGTACAAATTTGGTCGACCTTTCAGCATCCTCTTAATATAGGAGAATTGTATAAAAATGTGTATGTATGCGGGCTATTTGATGTAGTCATAAATATCAATGTACATCATTACACACCACTATATCAATTTCGCACGCATACATATGCATAATTGTTATAAAATAGCGATGCCACGAAGTTTGGCCATACTTTTGCCTTATAAGTATTTATTTCAAATAATGCACATCTCTGATTTTAAGTGAAAACCATATTTTACAATATTTAAGTCCACAATGTTAGTACATCAATTGGATTAGGTTTTAGATATAATTTTTTGTAAATTCGGATTTATTCTGCAAAATCTATAAATACTAATTGTAAGTTTAGTGTAAGATCCGATGTTTATATGCAAATATTAATTCTTTTTATAGACGTTATATTAAATTCACCGTTTAAAATTTTGTAATTTTAATCTGACAATCAGATTCATAATCAGTGATTATATTAAAATAAATATCCTTATACTCATACGTAGTTGAAGAACATTTTAAACAATTCTATTTTTGCAAGGCGGATTGTTATAATAAAATCAATGTTACATTCTGCATTCGATTATGTGTTATCTATTACATGCTAACGATCCATTAAATGTTAATTAAATATATATTTTTTCCTAAAGCAAAATTTTTGTGATTTAAGAAAAAACTTTGTAGCCTTCTAAAACTTAACTGATTTATTTTATATTTTATTAATATATAATTAATCATTAATATATGTATAACCAAAGCGAAAATAGCTAATCAAAGTTAATTAATCAAAGTCATCGATTAACGGGTCAAACACATGCCAATTTGACTTTTCATAGAGTAATGCGTATTGTATCACAAATTATTTTACATTTTGCAATGTTGAAGCGTATGTCCGAAAAATCGTTAATCAACGGGGCTACCGCGACTTTAATTTTCGTAAAAATCCGTAAAATCCGTTCTGGCTCATGACTCACCGAATTTTTCAAACATCAATAATAATTAACTCACCGGTCAATGGAAACCATGCAGAGATTAAAGATGCTAGCGGTGCAGTTGAGCACGTCAGCACTGAGCCAAATATGGCACAAGGTATAGCCAAAGTACCAATCGCCCGAAACTTGATAGATTATAGCTGGTGGCATCACCACTAAGCCGACCAGTAAATCGCTCACCGCCAAGCTGGTCACCAAGCAGTTGGATCGTCGAAATCTTTTAAAGTATATGATGATAAAGCAGATGGTAGCGTTACCTGCTATCGTCAGGATGGTGATGAAGAGGAGTAATGCAGTCAAAAAAAATGCCTTAACATAAAAAATACATTTTTACAACATTTCTATACATCTTATACGATGGCTTCCGTTTCCGGTAGAGTAGGTATTTAAAAGGTGTTTTTGTGTAAGAGCGTGTGAAAAGTGACAGTGTGAAAGTAGGTGCGAGAGAATGAGTGAATTGGTCAGTGGAGGAGCTGGGAGAAGCATTGGAAAAGGTGCAGAGATGGAGGCAGAGTAGGGAAAAGGGTTTAGGGTTGGATAGGGAGGTGGAAAGGACAGGTGTGTGGTAGGTTAGGGAGAGATTGGAAAAGGGTCGGTGGTGCTGCGAGTCCGGTAGTGGCGCGCGAGAGCACGCTGGCGTTGGGGCATAGAGAGTAGAGAGGGAGAGAGTAGAGAAGAAGGAGGGGAAGTGGTGCTGACAGAGGACGTGATGTAGGGAAGACATAGAGAGAAGAGTGGGAACAAAAGATAAGAAGGAAAATGTCAAAGAATATAGAGAAGGCGAGAAGAGAGAGATGTGATAGTGTGGGAAGTAATCTGGAGGAATATTTGAAGAGGAAGAGAGAATTAGAGGTAAGGAAGGGAAGGAGGAGGAGAAGGCATTTAAGAGGAGTAACAAAATGAAGAGATCGCCGCAAAATTGGGGAATGAAGGGGAAATAAGGAAACTGATGAGAGAAATGGGAATGAGAATAAGGAATATGATAGAAAGGATGGAGGAAGAAAGGAAAGGAAAGGAGAGGAAATGGGGAAGGAGTTGGTGGGACAAGGATTGTAGAGAAAAGAAAAGAATAGTCAGCTAGGTGTTGAGAAGGTGGAGGAAGGGAGCGAGAGTACAGGAAAGAAAAAAAGAGTATAAGGAATTGTGTGAACTGAAGAGATAGGAGAAAAATGAAAGATGGGAAAAGGATGTCGAAGATGCGAAAACGGAGGAACAAGTATGGAGAATTGTGGGTAAAGAAAGAAAGAGGAAGATAGGGATAAATAGGAATATAAGGATGGTAGATTGGGAGGAATACTTTAGAGGGGTATTAGGGGGAGTAGATGGTAGGATAGTGAAGGGACAGGAAAGAACAGGAAGGGAGGAGGAGAAAAGGGAGATTGGGAAGAAGAAAATTAGTAGAGTGTTGGGGAAAATAAAAGAAAAGAAAATAAAAGAAGAAGAAGGAGGATGAATGGGAGCGAGCAGTGAGTGTGAATGAGAGAGTACGGAAGGTAGTGTGAGAGAAAAGTTGGTGTGTAAAATATTTGTCAAATATTATGTAACGGAAACGGAAGTAGAGTAGGGATTCGAGAAAAGAGATGGAGGGTGTGTAGGCAGGCGTTGTGGGTATGTGTGGCGGGTGTGCGGTTAGATATAGTGGATTAGTTGTAAGTTAGATGTAAGTTAGAAATAAGATAGATTTAAGATTAAATTAAGTATTAGGGATAACAGTTTGTAATCATCTTGTAACCCTGAGGGGAATTAATAAACCTATATACAGGGTGGTTCAGAATAATCGTTTGTCCTTAAAGTACCGTATTTTTGACATAATTCTAAGACTATTTTTCCTTTATTAAAATTTTATCTGAAGCTTAGTTTTTAAGTTATAAGAAAAAATAGTTAGCAAATTACGGGACGCGCACACAAGATAGGCAGGAGCGGCACAAGTGACTGTCCGACGCGGGCGATTACTACGGACCTTCGCTGTAATCAGCTGCTCACTACACGCGATAACGCACTGATGTACATGTGCGTGTGTCGCGCGCGCGCGCGCGCGCGCGCGTGCGTGCGTGTGTGTGTGTGTGTGTGTGTGCGTGAAAGAAAGAGAGGGAAAATATAAACGCATATTTATACGCGCGTGTAGTCAGCTGATCGTCGCGAAAGTCCTGCGTACCGCCTGCCGTCGGACAGTAAGTCGTGCCGCCTCTGTCTATCTTCCGTACGCGCCATAATTCACTATCTATTTCTTATTATAATTTGAAAATTAAGCTTTGGATAAAATTTTTGTAAAGGAAAAATTATCTTAGAATTGAGTCAAGAATACGGCTTTACAAGGACACCGGAGTGTTCTGAATCACTCTTATACATATACATAATGTTATATAACCAAACTTGTTTTTTGATTTTGTGAGCATAATAAACAAATTATTAATAATTAATTGTTTTATTATTGCAAAATTTGGTTCTTTATTCGCAACGTAATTAAATTAATGCAAGTAAATCTGCTTTTTTATTTTCTCAACTTCTTGCATATTTTGCGCAAGCAGAAAAAAGTTATGTAAATTACATATTTTCATGTAAAGAGAAATTTGAATAAAGATAAAAATGTTTTTATTATAAAAAATGTCCGTTACGGGACGCATTTTAAGACTTATTAAATTATTCCTACCCTTCAAAATGTGTTATGTTTTAATAATATTCGTTATTACTAATAACAAATAATTAATAATAAAAAAGTAATTAAAATAGTTAAAATTTTAAATATAAAAAACTTTTAAATTTAATGTATGTATATTGCTTATTTTATTATATGTTTAGATAAAATATATGTTGCTTACTTTATGTATAGGTAGACCTTATGTAACAGATAGACACAAATGCGCACATTTATTCTTAAATCTGCAGTGAAGATAAAAGATAATCAATTTTGGAAATGAAATTAATAAATTCGCGTATCTAGTGAATGCTTTGTTACATATATTAAATATATCGTATTAATAGAAAAGAGATATATTTCCAAATAAAATAAATAGATGGCGTGATATCTTGCTAATTTTTATTTTTGCTCACCCCGTTTTGATGAGTTAATTTGTTTGAAGACTCGGAATAATATTACATATAAAGTATTGAAATTTTTACATTATTAGTTCTATTTCTTTCAAAATTTGCATTAAGAATTTACATTTGCATTTACATTTGAGTACAACATACATTTAATTGTACGAGTACTATTTTGCGGCTAAATCCAAGCTTTCGGTCGTATTAATTCTAATTCAAGAAATATTTAAAAAATATTGTTGTCTTCTAGTGCATTATGTACAATTAAATTTAATATTAAGGTAATATATATTAAACAAGGACTGATCGTTACACTCTTGCAAATTATATTCTTATCAAAAGCCACATTTCACTTATAAAAAAAGCTAATTCGGTAGCTACGCAACTACATCGCTTTGTCACGCATCACTTACCTCTATTGTGTTGTAAGGTGAAAAATCGCCGGGAAAGTTTATGAAGAAGGAAAAAAATGTGGCAGCTGGTTGAATAGCGTTTATAATCGACGTGGAATTTGGCATCTCCGCGTAGATTAGATCTTGCTTTTCTATAGAAATAATAGCATTTTGTGTTGTCATTTTCGATGCATATATTATGCTTCTTGTATCCTTTTGGATGTTGAGCTTCAAACAAGCCTTAATTCTGAAGAGAGGCTTGGTAGCAGTTCCCTTTTATCCCTCCATCAATTCATGCTTCTGCAAAATCATAACCATTATAAACTTGACACTTTCAGAAAACAAATCGAATATGGCATAATTAAATGCTAATTTATTATATTGCTTCTATCTAGTCGCAAAAAATTAATATAAGATCAAATGAAGATGTTGATTTTATGTTACTGATTTTATGCAACCTCCATTTATTAAAAGCGTATATCTATAAAGAATTGCGAACAAAAAAATATTAAGTAAAGGGAAATTATCAGTAACGGCAGAGGCTAGATATTGGTGTCTAATAATAATATTTTTCTAATTTTAAATTTCAGCTACAGTAAATTGCGCGCGCCAATCTCTGTCGGCTTTTAAGAATGCAATCATAATCTAAAGCTGAAGTATTAATAAGTGAAGTATTAATTTTAGTTTAAAATTTAAAAAAAAATTATTATTTGACATGAATATCTAGCCTCAGCTGTCTTTAGCGATTTCTCTTTACTTATTTGCTATAAACACAGCGGCCTTAATAGAAATTAATAAAAAATATTATATCACAATTAATAAATCATTACAATTTTATTACAATTCTTTGTTTTAAATTACTACAAAGAGATAAAAATTTGAATAATTATGAATGCATTAATACCGATTACTGTACTACAAATGTAATTGCGTAAGAGTATAGTAAAAAATAAAAGGTAAGTCATATAATTTTAAAGTAAATTCAGGACTAGACCAATAAATTAGCATTTATTTAAGCATTAATGCTTAATTATAATCGACATTTTTTTTAAATAATAAGGATGCTAGATTTACAGAAATAAAATCAAGTTTAACTTCGTTATTTATTACGTGATTAGCGAATTTATATAGACAAATAAATGACGTAACAAATACATACATAGTATTGCAAATACATAGTATAAACAAAGATTCTAAGAAAATCTAAAGTAAATTGTAGTAATTTAAATTTAAAAAGATTTCTATCGTATGAACGGAATATTCTCCATCTTATTTTATTTAAAACAAAAAATTTGAAAGGTTATAACTTTTCACAAATTTTTAAATTCATAGCAATTTTATCAGAGTGAAGCAATATTATTAAAAGGCTAAATATATGTAAATAACAAAAGTATTAATACCTATATATTATACATTTCTGACTTTGTAAATTTTCTTGGTTTTATTTTCTGTTGCTCTTTTGATGCCATTGGGACACAGATTTAGGTATAAAAATCCTCAGAAGGACGGTTGAAAGTAATGGTACCAACAGGAAAAATTCAAAAGCGTATAGCTGTATTCATGCAGGAGACCTTTATCGCATTCTACGGAATAGGAAGCGTAGTAGAAATCCTGACTGCAATCTTGCAGCGGCGACGATGTAAATTGCTGATTTAAAACGGTTTTAGAATGAAATTTCACAGCAGCTTCCCCGGTTTGCCTCGCAGATAAGAGAGAACACGAGCATTACTACGACGATGCTTTCCGATAGGAAATGAGAGTGTCGCTCCTGAGAGTATTGATTGGAACCGACTATTTAATAGCGACTATTTAATGGAGATATTATAGTTTCGGAAGTCGTGAAACAATATTGTTCGGTTTGCGTGAAATTTTCAACACATTAACGAGATAGAATAAGAAAGACACAAATAAAGATCTTCAGTGCTTCTTCCTTGTCAACTTAATTATTTTGCTGATTGATTTAGTCAGTGAATAAGTTGGATTTTAACGCAATGGAATTATACTACGAGCTATTGCTATATTTTACGAGAGATTCAAGAATCTAGAATTTTTAAAGGCATATCTACATAAGTCGCAACACGCAATTCGCAAACGCAGAGAAAAAAAGAAAGAAACGTAAAAAAAAAAGAAAAAAGAGAAAAACGTCCGCGTTTGCGTTTGCGTGTTGCGACTTATGCGATGTAAATGGCTTTAACAGTATCATTCTAGTTGAATATTAACATTTTGCACGCAACATATGTATTATTAACTGCAAATATAAATGAGACACAAAGAGTGACTCAAAAAAGAGAATTTTTTTCGCCCGTTTTTTTGGGCACTTGATTTTGAGAATGGACTGATTGCCAAATAGTACTTTATAATGAGATATCAATAACAGAGAAGTTTCAGATTGAAATGACAATTGTTATCACAGCTGGAGGGGGTCACTTATCATTATAATATGTCTCTTTACGCGAAAACTTTTTTTATTTCCAAAATAAGCGTCATTTACAAAAAACTGCCTTCATCAACTGAATCAACCTTCTTAAAATGGACCTCGCAGATCTGTAATAATTCCACACACACACACACACTCAATGAATTTTGATTTTATTCTCTCCCTCTTCTAGCTCTGATAACAATTGTCACCTCAAATTGAAATTTCTCTACAATTATTAACAGTCTTAAAACGGGCAATTTTTTGGGTCATTCTTTGGTTTGAAAAAAGACAATAAAATTTTTCTGCCAAATATACGTATACACACGATGCAATCCATATTTGCAAAAATAAAATGTCATTTTATTCCTTTTGAAAGAACGATATCGATTATCCTGTTGTTCCCGACGCTACATTAATCCTTCCATGTCTTTTCAGAAACAAAATTATTATATTTATTTTAATCATTTTAAATATCTTATCATTGCAAAATACGAAAATAGGATCAGATAATAAAAATTCAATATAACGAATTCAACATGATGAATGCAAGAAATAACTATTTTTAAGTTCTAATGCGATTGTACATACATTATTAGAGTTTTAAAAAAATGCAAAAAGATTAAAAAGAAGTTCAAAATGAATTAAATAATACAATAATTGCAAAAAATAAACTATTTTGAAATTCTAATGAAAATATATTATACTAAAATATATTCAGTATAGCAAAATGCAGATATAATTTATAAAATAAAATAAAATATGCAAGAAGATAAATAGTAAAAATTGTGTAGTAAGTTTTCCAAAAATTTTTGACTCAATTTATATCGCATATTCGTAAATACCTACTAATTATTCTAATCAATAATTGCATCTCTAAATTGAGATATAAGAGACTCAGCTTATAATTTATATATGCATATGATGTACAATATAAATATCTGAAATTTATTATGATTATTTGAGTAATCGCTACATGTAACGTTGCACATTATCTCAAACATTTCATTAATTTCGAAATTTCGACTTTATCGTGCTCTTTTAATTTGCTTAGGTTTAAAACATTTGTTAAGTAAAAGTAATAAACAGTTTTACCTTATTAAGGTCTTTTAAAAGGAAGTTTAAATTTTATCAAAAGAATGTGATAAATATTATTCTAAGACATAAAAGTTTATTATTGTACAAATAAACTTTTATGTTTTAGAATAACATTTATCACATTTTTTTGATGAAATTTAAAATATCTTTTTAAAATATCTTAATAAGGCAAAACTGTTTATTACTTTTACTTAACAAATGTTTTAAACCTATAAAGCAAATCAAAAGGGCGTGAGGAGTCAGCGCGGTAAATGGTGCGTAATTATAATTGTAATCCAATGTAGTTATGTAATAAAATTTAATCTTTAGAATAATACAAGCTTTTATACAGACGTTTCGGCCATTTAATTTAAAGCCGTCATCAGTGTTACAACGTTAAAAATATTTAAGTCTATACTTTGTATTAATCGGTTTAAATTTAATTTAATAATTTATTTTGTGACGTCTTATTTAATAATATCTTGTTTTATGATTATGGATCGTTATGTGGTAGTCAGTGTTCACAAGCCTGTTCATAATATCCGGCATTGGAACTGGTTGAGAGTCAATTTACGGCTTGAATCTGGATCATGTAGGCTGTATTCTTTCATACGGAATTGTACTGTTGTGACCGCTTAATCACGTTGTAATACTGACAATGGCTTAAAGTTAAGCCGAAACGTCTGCATAAGAACTTGTATCATTCTAAAGATTATATTTTATTATGTAACCTACATTAAATTACAATTAAGAGTCCTTGCTTATTATACATCTTTGCTTATTAACGTCTTTAAAATGTTTTAAATGTGCAGAGATTTATAAGATATTTGATAATGAATATAACACTGCTCGTAGATCGACAGAGCGGATTAAACGAAATATTGTAGAAAAGTTCTTTATCATTTTGTGATTTTTGTAATAATTAATGAAAAATTAATTAATAAAGGTTTGTGTGAATGAGTGAGCATAGTGGTTCAGCGATAAAAGACAACAGTGTTACATAATATTCGCGATTACTCGACAATTGTGTGAAATATCTCTTTTTCATCATACATTTACATTTGCCGTTCATGTTGCTCATTGGCTCATCTTGTATATGTTGCACCGAACATACAAAGATTAAATAATATTTTCATATTAGACAAAAAGATAAAACATTAAAATAAATTATTAAATAATTAAATTACAATTTATTTATTATTATTTAATTAAATTTAAATCTAGTGAATTATAAACCACATTATATATAACCACAATTATAATATATATAATACCCGAAGTTACAAAGATTAGGGAAAATACAAAATTACGGTTGATCTTTTTGAAAATTGTATAGTTGTGGTGCAAGGAGGCAGCTTTCTGTGCCAAAGACACAGATTCAAATCTCAGAACAGTAGAATTCTAAAATCGATTTTTATCGATTTGGAAGCGATCACCCTCGATCTCTCGGAAGGCAATGACAAACCATCGAGAGTATTTCTGCCAAGAAATTCTTCTAATAAGCCTTTCGGAACCGGCGAAAAACTACAAATTCCATATATCTACGGCAAAAAAGATCACCTATGTCTGATGGGTACCCGAATACAGTACATGAAGAAGAAGAAAAAGAAGAATTGTATAGTGGCAAGTATTTTGAGATATCGATCAAAAATATACACAAAACGGCACGGAAGAAATTCCTATTATTATCTATCATCATTTTACGTATTGAAATATTTACATATAACAATTATATACTCTAATTACAACGCCGAAATCTATGAACGTCTAACTATGAAAATGTAATTCACTAAATTGCTTGCG